AATTGTGTATGATTTTAATAACCGTGTTACAAAAAGAAAGAGATTAAGGGATCGTTGCGAACAAAGCAAAATAAACAAAATAAAAACAATCCACAGTGTTTGATTTCCCAGACATCAAATCACTGCCACGTGTAATCGCATCGGCATGTTCTTCCGGTCGTAAACGAAATACCCTCCAATGCCCGCGGGATACGGAAATATTTTCAGCGTACGTAATAGCGCTTTTAACTCCCTCGTGAATCCGACAATCGATACACTCCGTTCTCTCGCGAAGTTCGGCCGAAACGGAGATTGGAAAGTTCCGCACTAAATTTCGCCCGAAATGCGGTCGGTTTCGTTTCCCGATTGGACGCCGTCCCATTCATGCCTGGATGATCCTCGTTAAGCCTCGCTAAGCTAGAATCCTTGACGTCACGTTTAAGTTGCTGTTAGGAGATTATGGTCGAGAGAGAAATTCTAAGGACACCCGGAGACGCGTATCGTCGCCGCACTCTCGATCAGACAGTTAAACAATGCGAACCTATCATCGAAATCCGTCGCAAAAAGAGAAAAAAAAATTAATTGGATCGCGTTCCCGTGATAGTCAATCGGAATCAGCATTTTCGCATTTACTCGAGCGCAATCAAGCGCCATTCATGCACATCTATCTCCTCCTTCCCATCCGGCGTAATCTCTCGAATAATATCCGAGCCGTTCGTCTCGAAAGGAATGCGAAGCGAATCTTTAAATCGCAATCATCCGCGTGTTTAATGTCAAACGTGGCACTATTCTCGATTTATCATGCTAACCGTGTTTAAGATCAAAGTTTCTTCCATACCCATAAGATTTTGTATCTTCAAAAGTCAAAGGAAAAATAAATTTGTTGTATAAGTTTATAATCTAATCGAGAGTTTTTCAGCAAGAGCGCTAAAATTTACATCCTTCACGATTAAATGACTCGCTCGTCTTGCGCGACTATATATATGTACTTGTACGTTTTGCGATTTTCGAAAAATCAATACTTTTCCGCGGCAACACGCGTGTTGCCGGCACACTGATGACGTAACGCCTGACGCAAGCGACAATCGTTGCGGCCGCGATGCCGCAGAGAGGCGAACGTCGATAGTACACCGGACGTCATGAATGCATTCGCCTTCCTTAGATCGGCATTTTCTGAACGAGTACGTCAATGCTTGGCGCAGTGTCATTATCTGAGCAATAATCATCATAACAAAACATCGATGTTTTCGTAAAAAGAAAAAAATCAATAGTATTTCTTCATACATATAAAAAAATATAAGAATATACTTTTATCATATTCCGATAATATAAATGGAAATAATAAATTATATTGAATAATACAATGTATATAATTTGCAATAAAGATTATAGCACGTTGGATGTATATTAATACAGGTATTTAAATTGTAATTTTCATAAAAGTTTTCTATATCGCAGAGGACAAAATCCAAAGATATTAAATACTGCAAAATTACCAATTTTGTCGTGCAGAAACTGCAGAAAAAAAAAAAAAAAACAGCAACGATATAAAGATAAAGCGATAAAGGTATAAAAAATGTTAAATGTTAAATGGATATTTTTTTTTATCGAAAAAGACCGCTCGGAAGCGGAACGTTATGATAGGAAATACGATACATTTTTTCGTGGATGCAGCTTTACGTACGGTAATCCACGAGAGTGGATGGCGTCGCACTCGAAATTCGCGAAATTCGCGAAATCTCGCGCCGGCCATCGCCGGGATTAATCTCCGCTTCGATCGTCGCCCTCTGCCCTTTCGACGTTCCTTCGACCCCGTTACGCCGCCGCGGCAGCGTGCCATGAAAATGGTTTGTGATTACCGCGGCGGCAGGCATTCGCGCTGACGAGGCGAATATATATATATATATATATATATATATATATATATATTCTGCCTTCCGTCCGCGTTATCCTTAACCCGCGCGAAATTGATTTCGCCACTCGTCCCGGGTGAATAGCCCGTCGTAGAAAAGTAGATAACCACCGCGGCGAAACGCAAGGATTACGATGCTCGCTCTTTTTATAATCTCTTTGGAGGACGCGAGCCAGCTTTCTATTAAACAAATATCTCGCGTCAAAGTAAATTGATTTCAATATTCAAGAGATACGGTGATATTTCGGTTAATTTCTCATTCGTCAATTTCTGAGATTTTTTTTTAACCGATTAAATTTAAATTTTAATAATGCAATGATTTGATGTTTTAAATTTTTCAGCGTAAAAAAAAAATACGATACAAGTTGCCTCTGATGATGGAACTTTAATCGAGCGATTAAAGTACAATAATGCTTTTCGCTTCGTTCATCGATTATTCCTATTTCGGTAGCAGTCGATTGCGCAGATTAAACCTTTTACTTCGCTTCGAGCTAAGAAGCACTTCCCTAAAATTCCTTACATACATTCCATTTCGTTCTCCGAATTGAACACTTCAATTCTCTCAGAAGTTTATTCGCTCCCCATCCGGATCCTCGCCACATCGATAATCCTGTCGCAAATAAGCATCAGGGAAACGAGCAAAGTTTCGGAGTATAATCAACCGCGTAGGTTCTACGCCACACGTTCGTTCACGAAATTGAAGGGAGGCTTCCATGGTACCTCGCGGTATTTTCTATTTGCGCCTCACGCGATGTACGCTGCGAGATAACGCATTCGTCTTTTTCCGCCGGTGATATCGGCGATCCGCCGAAAGAAGCTCGTAAAATCCCGAGCGTAAACAACGCCCTAAAACGCAAGACGTGTCGGAGAGGGATAATTCTAGATTCGATTGTGCCGCCGCGGCCCAGTTATACGTCTGTAACACAGAGAAACGGTGAAATGTATGTATGTGCGTGTGCAACAAGATACCCGAGGCCTGTGAACGGGACTCAGGACACATACACGGCTCTCTCGGATCGATACTCGCGGCAGAGTTTTCGCGAGTGCAAACTACGCGAGACACGGGAGAAATCATCTTGTCGTCACGATCTCGCCGCGCGAAAACGATTCCTCCTAGGAATTTTTTCATATTCAATCACAGAGGATTCCGGATTGACGTTCGAAAGCGATGAAATTTTGAGGAAATATTCGCGTAGTAATTTCTGCGATTTACACCCACGCGGGAAATGGTTTTCCCCTCGGACGAAATCCGTTCCGGCTCGATGAGGCAGACCTGCAAAACACGGACGGAAATCTCGGTATTAGTGCGAGATCATTTCTCGGGATATCATTCTTTTTTTCGGAAAGAGATACGAAGGTTCCGATTGCCAATATAATGGCAATGCATCCGATAGCTATCGGTATTATCATCGAGTACGAGTGTACCGTCAAGTGTATATACGACGCGAATCGGGTTTTCCTTTGACGTCGATAACAGATACGATATGGATTTACGCGCTCGTTTCAGCCGCCCGCGCGCGGCACAACGATGAGATATACGTCAGCCCCCGCGGGAAAGTAGAATAAATAAACGTGAAAATAAATTGGACGCGGAACGACCAACGTCATTTTATATACATATATGTATAAATCGAAAATCGGGAGTAAGAAAGGGACACGGATTCGTGACATAGACAGAAATAATTAGCGATAGTAATTCTAAGCTTCTAAATATCATATCGAAGTCACGTCCAAGAAACATAAAAACCTACATTGACATAAAAACCTACATTGCGCCATCATTTTATTTTTGTTTGCTAAATAATCAGCATTTATATTTATTATGACGCCATGTTAAAATTATTATATTGCGTTCGTATCCCCGCAGCCTGATCGTGGACGACGTGGACTCGCACTCGATCCTCAGCGACGGCTCCGACCTGGACGGGCTCTCGCGCGAGAGCAGCTCGCAGAACTCGGCGTCGCAGACGCCGCTGGACAGCCCCGGTGGGCCGCGGGAGAGGATCAAGCAGATCCAGGTGGAGGCTGAGACCAGGCGGGGCGAGTTCGCCAGGCTACTAGAGGAACACGCGCAGGTGGTGCGCAAGCTGAAGATGATGGAGGCAGAGGAGCAGCTATCGACGACGACGACGACGACGACGACGGCGACCGGGAACGCGACGGTGATCGGTGGCGCGCACGCGTGATTTTACGATTTTATTTTCACCACCGATGCCGAGACGGGGGTGTCACCGAGAGTCGGGACCATCGCGTCGACCACCGTCGTACGACCGACCACAACCGCCTCACTGCGTTTCCCCCTCGTCCGCCTCGAAACCCGCGAAACCCCATCCGGACGGACCATCGTCGTTCGTCATGATTTGCAGACAAGACGCGGATGACGTACGGATTATTAATCCTCGAATGCACCCCTCCTGGACGGACCCGCGAAATATCCATATACACACGTTGGCGGGAAAGTTACAGGGTACATCCGAGATTTAAATTATGGAGGAAGGGAGATATGGACTACTCGAGAGGATTTTCCTTGCTGTCTTTTTTCCTTTTTCTCTTCTGTATTATGTTACAGTTCCGTTCCGCTTTTTCTCTAATTTCCGCTTCCGGATTAATTTGATTGCGCGACTTTGATTTAATTGAAACAAAGACTGAAATCAAATTGATAAACCCTGACCGATACGAAAGAAAAATTTGTGGAAAAATTTGTATTTTATATTCCGAATCATGGCAATTGAACAAAATGAATATTAATCTGGTATATTTACGAAGAAATTCGAAGAAAAGTAAGATGTAAAGGCTTAATAAAATTTATTTCACGAGGTTTTTATACGTACGATCAACGCGTATTTATTATCGCGATTACGGATTGTATTACCATGTAACTTCTCGCAATTTTATTTATAATTGTGAATAAAATATCTGTTCCGTTTATTAAAAATCGAGATTACGCCGTCGCGCGCGTAATTCCACCAATGTAACACATATGTACGTAATACATATGTACATATTTTAAGCGAAGCCTTTTTTCATCCGATTTCATCCGATTCCGAGATCGGATCGAAGCAAGTCCCATTGGCAGAATCATCATCAGTGAAGGGTAACCCGTAACCAATCTCCCGCGACAGGGATCGTTCTTAAAATTAATCCTTGTTTGCAACAAAGTCTGAAATAAAAAAAAAAAAAGAAAAAAAAACAAACCCACTAGACACGACAATAATGAGGAACACTTTTATGGGGAACGTGCGCGAAAGCCGCGGTTGCGTATTGTTCACAA